GGTGAGAGCTGTGCAGTCTGTTGGCAAAAATCAAACTGCACTAAATGATATTTTTTCCCGCATGGACATTTCGCATAGAGGAGTGCATCATAAGTCATACAGGAGGCTGCACGGCAAGCGTAGTCACCCTGCCACTGCATCTGCAGCCACAGTAATAGAGGCAGCAAGCGTAGAGAAGGTGCGTCAGATATATAGGGACCTTGGATGTGCCCCAGGGAACATTGACGTTATCTACGATGGCATTTGGATGACAAGGGGCCACACAAGCCACATCGGTAATGGCTGTGTCATCGAGTTATACTGTGGCCTTGTCTTTGACCACTGTGTGCTCTCCAACTACTGCCAAGGCTGTGCTCTTGGACCATGGCATCAGGACAGTGGATACTTGGAGTGGTATGAAAAACACGAACCACAGTGCCAAAAAACATGAAGGCAAATGCAGGGCAGATGGAAACAATTGCGGCAAAGACCACGTTTCAAGGATCACTTCAAAAACACCAGCTCCGCTATGCAAATATCCTTTGCGATGGCGATAGCCGCACGTATAGTGCCCTCAGTGAGGATAAGGTGTATGGCTTCATAGCCATACAAAAGCAAGAATGTGTGAACTATGTAAAAAAAAAAGAATGGGCACGGGTTTGCGCAACCTTGTTGAGAAAAACAAGAGCAAGGACTGAGAGCTCAGCATGAGCGGAGGAGGCCGCCTCACACATGGCTTAATTAAAAAGCTCACCAACTGTTATGGATGGGCCATCAAAAGTAACCCAAACGATGTGCCAGCCATGGAAAAGGTCATCATGGCTACTTTTTACCATGTTAAATCCACTGATTATGAGACAGGCCATGAGCGCTGCCCGACTGGAGTGAACTCGTGGTGCAAGTTTAATGCTGCGGCAGCTTCAGGGGAACCAGCACCTGCACACAAGCTGCAGCTTCCTGCACATGTTCGGGCAGCACTCCTGCCTATATATAAGTGCCTTTCAGCAAGGGAACTTCTGGAAACATGCCAGCAAGGCAGAACTCAAAATGCCATTGAGTCTCTCAACAATGTGATTTGGTCACTCCAATCCAAAACACAGTTTGCCTCTCTCCTAACAGTTCTGTGGCAAATGCAGCTTGCCGTTTTAATGCTGGCTGTGGAAAAGCATTACAGGAGATCACACCACAACTTGGGTACACTCCAGGATCGTGCTCCCTGCTGTGCTGCTGAAATGGACGCACGGCGCATGAAAAAGGCAACCAAAGTGCACGAAACTGCTCCAAAGAAGCAAAAAACTGGATTAAAATCAAAACAAAATGTCTCTGCAGAGGCAAAGGACTACATCCCAGGCGGGTTTTAGGTGTTTAGAGTTAATATTTAACTGCTTTCATGAAATAAAACTTTGAGCTCCGTTTTCTCAGCTTCCATTTTTCGTGCAGTTGCTGTCAGTCATCCCAGCGCTACTTCATAGCTAATGAAGATAAAGTCATTCTGTTTTTTGCACTTAGATCCTGAAACATTGGTGAGTGCCGTAACGCTATTCATTTTATTTGGCGATCATAAAAATTTTTTAATTCTATCTTTGCAAAAGTTGTCCTTAAGAAAATATTTATTGGACATTTCAAAAATTTTTTCTGTGCTCGTGTGGACATTAAAAAAAATAAACCAATAGCTTTACGGCACCAAGTGGGCCTTGCTAAATATGCTAAATAAAAAATTTTGACGAACTTTTGTCTATAATTATTGTGGGATGACAATGAGACTATATCAAGTGCCGTAACTCAAAATCTACGAGAGATATCTCAAAACTGATTTCAGTTATGATATCAGCATAACAAACCACATCGGTGTGCCAAATTTCATCCTTTTAGCCCCATAAATAACAAAGATAGTTTTCATTGCCACGTCCCCCATTAATAATGGGTGTTTAGATGGAATTATAGTGCCAATGATTTGCTCCACAAGTGGTCTAAAGGGACCCTTTTAATACCTTCTTTGCAATGTGCATTGAAATTTTCTAATGCGATAATGCCTAATTGTTTTCATGACTTGTTTGTATTTCACACCATTTTTAAAATTTTTCCTATTGTTGAATATTTGGTACTTTCTGTGCTTTGGCAGTATTTTTTCTTACTTTTGTGTTTTGTTTTTGCCCTTTCCCTCTGCAATGCTGTAAAACACTGATGGTAAAATATAATAATAATAATAATAATAATAATAATAATAATAATAATAATAATAATAATTGACCTTGTTGTGGTATAGTTGCGCACCTGGCCGACACAGCATTGCAAAATGTTACAACTATAGACGCTCAACCCCGTGCTTGCTCAGCTTATTGAGCCGCTGCACCTACAGGTAGTGTTTAAGCAATACCAGTTTTTTCCTTGTGAAAAAAAGCCTTACATTTAGTAACGTATGCTGTCGGAGTAGTTGGTGTGTAGCTGTGTAAAATATCGTTGGCGCAAACTTGAAAAAAGATGAAAGAAGAGACGCGGAAAAGCGCCGCCGTGTCTTTTCTGTGTCTCTTCTTTCGTTTTCTTTTAAGTTTGCACGAACAATGTTTCACATAGACTTACTTTTAAGTTCACCATTGACTGCCACGATTTAGTTGATTAATTGGCCACGATTTGTGAGATTTGCTAGCTTGTTGTCTCCAATGCCGCATCCACGAAAAATGACACGCTGCAACGATTTTCGTTGACATCTAAGTAGCACTTTCATTTTAGATAACTCACAGCGCAAGAAGATATTCGTGCCTTTCCTTTAATAAATCTCTAGTTGAGAGTCAGCGCTCGTGTTCTCTTATACTTTGTCTGCGTCCATCTTGCGCTGTGAGTTATCGAAACAGAACTATTACTAACTAGCCCATAATTCCCTTCCTGTCTCAGTAGCACTAGTAGTAAATAGTATGACTATTCTACTTATAGTCGTACTATTTCTCAGCGTTTTTTAACACTATTTCTAAATATTAGCATAAAAAACAATGTATAAAAAAGGTAACATTCTTTTCTTAAAGGTAACACTATCGAAGACCAGTAGACTGAATAAATCACCATAAGCCACCAAAGTTTGGTACAACACATGGCAACTAGTTGCGGAGCAATTCGTACATAGGTGCGCTCCGTGTATGCTAGTCCAAGTTTCCTTAAGCAATACCAGCGTGGCAGGCCCACGAATGTACCTCGGGAGCGCTTGCAAAGGGTAGGATTGAGAGAGAGAAGCAAGTCGGTGGTAACACAGCAAACCCATTTTAATTTTACACAATGGCAAAACATGAGAAAACCCTTAAAAATCACACAAACAAGAAACATCCACACAATAACTGGCTATCCCGTGGAACCGGAAATAATACTGATCCAACTCTAGTCCTGAGCCTCAATATCTCTAGCCAAGATGGCGTCCCCAACCGATTCCATAACCAAATCCAATTGTCCCCAACCGAATCCCCAACCGAGTCTCTACGAGAGTCGACTGGGGATTCATTGAAACTGTTTGAACCATTAATATTGTCACCGGTATAGAAAGGTACCTCAGGCACGGGTGCAGAAATGACACAGAAGGAATGAAGATGACATTGTTAAGGGGCTGTGTCTGGACTGCCCTGTTGTCCTGCATCCTTACGCACTGTTTGCTGTGTTAGCCCAACCGGCGTTAACTTATTAAATACTCCCCGTTACATATTTTGGTGGAAGTGCTGGGTAACATTCCAAATCTGGGTCTCCGTAGCGGACGTCACCGTCGTCCAACCACGATGCCTGAAAGCAGTGCATCGTCCGTTCAGTCTATGCCTGCTCCGTCACTTGTGATCTCTTCGAATCTTCTCGATCGAGGTACATTTTGCAGCACCGACACAACTAACGTTGACGAATGGCTCGCCTTATATGAGCACTTCAGCAAGCAATACAGGTGAGATGAGACACTTATGTTGGCCAACATCATCTTTTACTTGCAAGGTACTGCACGCGCCTGCTACGAGACGCACAAGGAAGACCTGACGAGTTGGAACGTGTGCAAGCAGAAACTCCGTGACTTGTTCGGCCGGTCAGTTGCAGGTCAACAGGGCAGTCCAGACACAGCCCCACAACATCATCATCGTCTTTATTCATTCTGTGTCATTTCTGTGCCTGAGGTACCTTTCTATACCCATGACATACTCATGACATTCCTTTCTATACCCATGGCACTTAAAATTCACCCTCGTGTTCTTCTGCCTGTATTTGCGGCTCTGACAATGTGTTGTATATGCAGTGAAAAAACACAGTATTTCTGCCGCTACATATCTCCGCCAAGGGCCGAGTTGCAGCTCATGTGGATAATTTACTGCTTGTCGCAGAAGACATGTAACATAGAGGTGCTGTCGAACTTCCATCAAAAATACGTAACGAGGAGTATTTAATAAATTAACGCTGGTTGGGCTAACACTGCACACAGTGCGCAAGGGTTCAGGATAACAGGGCAGTCCAGACACAATCCCACAACAACATCGTCGTCTTCATTCTTTCCGTGTCATTTCTGCGCCCGTGCCTGAGGTACCTTTCTATACCCGTGACAATATGTTTAAAACAGGTACATTCACACGAACGAGGTTTGCCTGTACGTGTACAGGATGTCAAATTGTGTCGACTCAACAAAGTAGGCGATTTTGTGTTTCATTGTAAATACAGCAGACTCTCAGTAAACTGAAATCTGTTAAATGGAACTACTGCATAAGCAGAACTATTGCCTCTGCAATACTTGGTTTCGGGCTTGTATTCTGCACCTATGCTCATCTCTGAGTGAACAGAACTCCTGTTGAATGGAACACATTTTTTGCGGTCCCCTCAGGTTCCGTTTACTGGGAGTCTACGGTATTATAGAAGACTATTCTACCTATCAAGCTGCTTATATGTCCTGGCTTACTCGACAAATCATAGAATGGCCTGAACTGTGCTCATTCTGTTCACAGGCGTTACTGTGGTCATCCGGAACTCAAACTTCAAACACAAGTGATTGTAGCTGCATAAAAAGGTGAGCTTGCCTCAGCCGGATTGCCAAGCGAAGGAGGTCGCAGGATAATATGACAGCAGTCACAGAGCAGCATGACCAAGCACAATGTGCGGCTTGCTGTGCCTCGGCCACCAGTTGGACAACTGGTTGATATGCGGCCCCTCAATCCCAGCAGCAGTTCGGCCAGGAAGCATACATAGGCTGTCCAACGGCGTGGCACCACCATCGTAGCATCCAGCGGCCGTAGCAGTTGGTCTCGCTCGTTGAACCACTCGCGGCAGGCACTCAGCATGCTTTCCAGGAATGTCTCTCCTCTCTCCTTCTGCAATGTTGCAAGGTGTATGTACAAAGCTAAAAAAGGAGATGCCAAGCAAATTGTTATCGAAAAGGGCAAGATAGACTACTGTTTACAGGATTTATTACAACAAAAACAGTCAGTCAACAAGATGGCAAAGAGCACCTTGACACTTTTTCCAGCATTCGATATTTTCTCTTGAATAGCATCATTACCATTTAGCATATGGATCAACTAGCTCACAAGTTAGTGTAAGGCAACAATTAGTGGCGTGTTGTGTGTATGCGCAGATAATGCGGCTGCTGCAGAGCGCGGAGTTCCCAACCCATCAACTCAAGATCAGTTTCCGCGAAGGCGAACGCAGAAGACCCACACACGGGAATGAAAGTAGACTCCTTCGTTCACATGGTTCACGAGCGGAACTGGCAAGGTCGCCCCGTCTGGGACTAGAAGGGGAAAGCTTACTCGGAAGCGTGTCTGGCAAGAATTACGTCAAGCGCGGTCATCCGAGTTTAAGTCATTGTTGGCATGCACGTGTGTAATTGAGAATGCCACACGGATGCGACCACTGGGCTAACCATGGTTGCGGCACAGAGACGAGCTTATGCTCCCCGGCTATACGTCATTACCAAGTGTTGTCAAGATGGCGGGGCGCCTTGCTGTCTCGTGCACACCTGGTCAACACACAGAGAGTGACAGTGTACTCACCGTGCTTGAAGAGGCTTCTACGAAGCATTCTTTATTGAGCGATTTGACGGAACTCGAGCGTGAGAACAGCTACCGACGGAGGTCAGCTGACGGAGGCCAGCACCACCTGATATGGAAGAGAGTGTGACACGCGGAGAACGTATTCCTTTTTGTGTTTTATTTGGTGACATGATTTTTACCAATGCAGTGCCTGTTATGAAAGTGTGTCTGAGATTGGTTGTAATGATGCGAGCCCCAACGTGTGATTGGCTTCTGTGAAGGTCCTTTGTTCAATCGAAGGTTCAAAACGGGGTGTTTGACTGTGAGATAAGAGCAGAGGTTCGGGCTTGGACTCGGGCAGATGCTTCAGGCTGCAATAAAACGTCTCTTCACCAGACTACTGCTCTTCTTTCACGCTGTGACTGAGCACCTGAGTCATCGAGAGACACCCACAGCGAACCTCAACAAATTCTCTCTTTAGCTAGTGTAGAAGCTAGTTGAGGAGAAAGAAATTAACTGGCGCAGTTGACGTGGATTGGAAAGCCTGCAGAGGAAGGCACTGAAGTCCGAGAAGCTCATAAGATGCTCACTGTTTTTTGGGACCTGCTAGTGCGCTGCGAGAAGCAGCGTGAAGATGCTCGCTTCATTAAGACCTGTTGGCGCGCTGCGAGAAGCAGCGTTGGCATTCGGTACGAGCCTGCCGGTCAACATTGGGCCCAGGAGTTGGGCAGCGCAAAAGTGCTGTGTGTCTGTAAACAAGAGCCGAGCAGCAGGCACCGTCGGCGCGGCTGACTTCAGACAACGACAGGGATGGTCCGGTCGAGCACCCAGAGAATTAAAGGATTCGTCACAACCAGCGCTGGCCACGAGACGAACGTCGTTCCAACTAACGTGGTCATCGGGCGATGCATCACTGCAAGGTGAAGCCTGCTTTGTGCTTTTCTCGGGGCCCCCCAAATTTTTTTTACTGAATGCACTTGAATTCAGGCACACAGTGGGAGATGGCGGATTATACAGAGATGTGATGGAAGGTGACATTGTGGATGAATCGGTTCGCACCTGCGAGTTGAAGCTCGAGATTAAAGTGTTAGAGCTAAAGCTTGAGCTAGAGAAAATGAGGTCATCGCTTGCTTCATCAGGGGGTCCGGACAACCGGAACAAGCAGACCAGTATTGGACGGTACACAAAAGAGCTTAAAGCAGTCTTAGTACCTATGCCGACCAATGAGCCTACCGTTCCCGCTTAGTTCAAACATGTGGACGCTCTGTTTGCGGCATTGAGCATACCCGAGGAAATACAGGGCATGATCCTTTTGCCATTTTTAAGTGACAAGATGCGTATGCTCGTTGCCGATCAATCGGTTGGGTAATGCTATATTTATATCTAAAGACTAGAGTGCTGAAGGAGCTACGGATGACTCCAAGCGAATACCGGCGAATGTTTGTGGATATCAAAAGAGAAGCACATGAGTCTTGGAGCTAAGTGACAGCGCGTATGGAGACGACCTTCACTTACTACCTTAGAAGTAGAGATGTGGAGACATTTGAAGGTCTTCAGAAGTTGCTTATAGCTGACAGGCTAATGTAGGTAATGCCGAGTGATCTCCGCTCACTGGTCACTAAGGAGGAAGTAAAGGGCTGGTTGAAGCCTAAGAATATTGCGGAGTTAGCCGCCAATTTTGAAGAGAGCCTCTACAGTGGCAGTCAGGTAGTTGTGCAATGGAGCTGGCAAGGTGCTACGTCAAGAGGGTTAAATTATAGGGCGCAAGCTAAACAGTCCGCTGGTGCAAGCTTGAACCCTAATTCAGGAGTTTGTCTTCGATGTCCACGGCAGGGCCACTTCCAAAGGAATCGCGAGCTCTCCCGTGGCACTGCTGCTAATAAAGCAGTAGTTTTATGCGTAGCTCCGCAGAATCTGCGGTCATTTGAGAGCCGAGCTACATCGTTGCGACACACTGTCGTCATGAAACACTCAATCCTGAGAGACCGGTGTCTTGACATTTTCATGTAGGACAAACCCTGTTTCACTCGAATTGATTTGGGTGCGAATATAACGGTGATACGGGCGAATCAGGTATTCGCCGAGATTTCGCGTGAGAGCAGTAAAGGTAATAAAGGTAATTGACACTTTTGAGCATTGTTTTACAGCACAACTGCTCTATGTACCTCGAAGTCTTCCAACCTCCTCGAGAAGCGCGGCTCAGTCTGTGAAATTGCGATGTGCAGTGACCGATCAGTTGAATACGAGTGTCTCCATCTTGCTTACTCTCACAGGTTACGAATATCTTCGTTGTCACCGGCAAAAGCCACGGAATGATCTAAAAGAGGGTAGTGCGAGGGAGAACATCTGTTTAAGACAGGGCATCAGACCTAAGAAATATTCATCAATGAGGGAGCCAGAGCATGTGTCTCGAGGTTTTAGCTCTAGCGCTAACACTTGTGGGAATTGAGGCCTGCCCACTGCCTTTGCGCGGGCTTCGCTGCCTCTTTCTCCGTTCTCATGTCCCGACATGTCTCCCCTCCTACGCTGTCTGCCGCGCTGGCAGAGCGGAGTGACGTTTAACCCCCTCACCCCGTAGCGGATGTTGACTGTGGCGCCGCGCGCGGAGTCTCCCAAGAGGCTTTGTGCGCGCGCATCGGGAGTATAGAGAGGCCTCTCCGGGGACGACATGGGGGTAAGCACGTTTTTCTTTTCGGTCCGTCAGCTCCCTGTGAGACTCGTTCAAACTTCGCCAACAGCGCCTTGCGTCCGCGGCGAACGCTTACCTTATGTCGCCCCCCCCTTCTTTCCGAACGCTGGGCCGAAGAGTGGTACGGTGTCCTAGTGCGTGGCCTATCTACGCCGACTTGTCTCCCTCCGAAGCCAACGCGAGCGCCTTTGACCTCGCTCGAGCAACCGGGCCTTGGTCCCGGTGTCTCCGTGGATCACCTTTACCATGGAAACGTGCTCGTGGCACCCTGTGTAGTACTTTTATGCCTGTGGCGTGGGTAAGCCTATTCGCTTTCCTGCCGCGCCTTTGCAATGGGCTGTACTGCGTTTGGTGTTGCCACAGACAATAAAAGTGTTGCGACTTTGAGCAGTATCGTGTTCTCGCCATGGCGACGGTTAACCCGTGCCCTGCGGTTCGCTAAGACCGAACCCACGCTAGTGGCCGTACTCCTTCGCGATGCGTGTACACTACACTGGCGCCCAACCCGGTATCAAAAGCTCTAAGCGTTTGACTGCTCTTAGCGATTCAGTTTGCCTACGCAATTCGAGCTTGTCGCAACATGTCTGCTTCGTCGCATGTCGCGCTGCACAAAGAGGTCATCGCCTCTATCGACGGGCACCCTTCGGCACCCGTCCGTGTCGTCACCCCGTTTTGTGGTGAACACACAACACACGTGGTAGCTGACGCGCTATCTCGTGCCCCCTGTTGTCTGCTGAGAACCTGGATTTCGGTGTGACGGCCGCTAGCGGTGCCGTAGCACATGCAAGTGTCGGGGGCGAAACAAAGGCGAAAAGGGGAGTCCCCATGAGCATGGCCTTGGCTGCTATCCAGGTAAGCTGTCCACTGCGTGGCGGCCGAGCGGGGGAACTTTTCGAAGACCATCGTGCCAAGAGCGAACCCGTGACGCCGTGCGCCCGATTTGGGAGCATGGGAATCGCTTTCGGCAGCGAAGAGCTACTGAAGGCTCAGCAAAGTGATCCGTTTCGAGTCTCGGAGAGATGGAGCGCCGTGTACGCTGCTTGCTCTGCAGAGGGCGCCGATAAACCATCTTGAAGAGGCGCGGAGCGCCGTTACGCTGCTTGTTCTGCGGCGGGCGCGATTAGGGGGCTGAAAGAGCGTGTGTCGCTGAGTCCTTGGCGGATTCATTTTGCTGGACCATGACGGGCTCCTGCTTAACTATATAGACACTGACGACGAGTCCATCAATCCGTTTAAGGTGGCTATGCCCAAAAAAGTCTGAGAGCCACACTGTTGCGATCCTCTTATTACGAAACCATGGCCAGTCACCTGAGTGGCTCCAAAGTTTTATGCAAACCGAGCAACATTGTGACCTTGCCCGGCACGAAGCGTGGTTTTTATGTTTTTATCGCTATTCCGTGCTTGTCACGTCGGACAAACGGTTGAGCCAAGGGTTGGCAAGCCGCCCAGTCGTATGAACCGATTGTCAGTGAGCGTCCCTGGCGTGTACTAGCTGAAAGATCCCCTTTGCGAAAACTCAGCCGCGCCCACATCCCATACCTGAAGCCGTTTGTCACGGATTGACGAGCTCGCTCCAGCGCCCTGCGGCACTCCGCTCAAGCAACGGGGCACACCCGGAGCGGCGGACCGCATTCGGACCCTGCACCAATAT